ATATATAATCTTTTGAAAAATATCTTAAATTAATTATAGTTACCATTTTAATCTCGCTGTTGTGAGTTATTGTTACTACTTATGTCATTATATTGTTTTGTTTTATATTTTTTATTATCTTTTTCTAAGTATATATGTAGTTTAATTTCCTATATATACTAATGTCGTTATAACCTTAAAATTAGGCATAATTACAATATCTGTACATGATAGTGGATTAATTATATTGGGAAATATAAATTAATTACAAGTCATGGCACGATGTGTAGTAATAAAAGCCAAATGCAGATGAAATCTGCTGCGCAAGCGCTGAACTGGATCACCTTTAAATCGCAGCTGCTGTTTACGAAATAATATGGTACAGAATTAAAAAATAAAAACTAATTCAAGTGCGTACTTCTTTAACGTGAACAGTAATTGCTTTTAGTATAAAATATTACTCTATGTATTACGTATTGTTCTTATAAACGATATTCAGAAACAAAAGGGGAGAAAATTTAAGGGGTAGTTTCTCCTTAAGTTTATCTTGTACATACAGAATTTTAAACTCAAATTTCCTATAGACAAAAGTCTATTCTAGAGAACGTTATGAGGTTTTAATAACACTAAATACATACTGCAAATCATATCTAGTGTTATTCTAAATGTGAATTTTACATTGTAACACAACCCTTGTCAGTCACACAATATTCAATAAATGAAATAAATGTTATTGGTTTCAGTTTGTATACATATAATATTTGTAAAACCACAAATGTTTTGTATATAAATACAATGTTTTGTAAATAAAACTATGTTACAATAAAATCTTTTATATTTCTATCCATAAAAAAGTTTGTATTGTAAATGTGGTCAAGGAGTTTAAAGATTCTAAAAGCAATACAATTTCAAATGCTGGAAACATTCATGTTTGTTTTATTTTCATGGCATCAGTAAAGATACTTTTCGATCGAGTATTTATGTATAATGAAAAACATATACGTTACAATATTTATAATAAAACTCGCAAAGAAAAGAAAGGTAAAAATCTATTGTAATACATAAAGTCTCGTTACTCTCTGGTTCAATAAAAGTTCAGAAATGCTTCCTAAAAATATGGTAATATTTTTTTCAATTCTCCTATTCTAATAAAATAATTAACAATGAAACATACATACAGCACATCAAAACATATATGTGTTAAACGACGAGCCTAGTCAGTTGAGACTCATATTTATAAAAGAACTGTCTTCGCTAATATTTGTAAAACGTGAAGAGTAGGGAGCACCCACCCGTCATCTGAGAAGGAATATGGCCAGGTGCTTCAATATTAGGGCCGGGGATTTCCGGACGATTACACCATTTTGGTCTACCTTGTAGGAAAATTTAATCATACCAGAACAAGCGGAAATGATAATCTTGTAGGCATGATGGAAGTAATTGTATGTTGAGTCTATTATTAGTAAACTTCTGACTTTTACATTCATTCATAGATCAATATGAATATAGGAGCATTTTTAAGATATTTAGACCATACATCATTACACGCGCAATTGGTAAAAATGGCCCAAAAATGAAAGCAATTGGTGGACTCTTCAAACACGACCTGGCCTTTTGTTAGACTCTTCAGACTTTGTTACAGCTGAATTTTCAATCAGAAACAACCAATTACTATGCAGTTTTAGTATCTACCTAGCGAGATCTGACGACAAAAACATTTGGATATCACCTCAGTGTATGATAATACCGAATGAAACAAAAATGAAGAGAAAGAACTATCAGAGTTAACTTTCATATATCTTAGTCTTAATTAACATTTAGATTTTGTAACCTGTAGCTTACAGCACTGCTTATTTATTCCTTATCTGCATCGCTTACTTTTGCACTTAATGCTGAGGTTTGACCTAATCTCGTGCATGCTTTTTTGTGCATGAACCAATGCAATCTCTGACATTCTCTGTCACAATATTTCACTGTTTTACATTTGCTGCATTTTTTACTAGCTTTATCCTCACCACACGTAACACAAACTTGTGCATTATCAAAAAACGCTCTCTGTCCATTAATTGCAGCTGATACTACTGATACAGCAGATGGAGGATCAAGGGCAGCAAGGGTTGCTACCATTTGACGAAAGATAGTGCACTCTCTGTATGGAAATTCTCTAACAACATCTCGTAAGAAAGCTTCCTGATATTCTGGAGTGCCATCACTTTTGCTACACTTTAAAAATTTTCTTATTAAAACCTCTATAGTGTCAGACTTCTTTTCATCCCTCTCATCACTTATTTTCTCAATTTTTTCCGCTTTCATTGCTTCTTGCCTCTTTTGGAATTTAATTACTTCAGAGACAACACAACTTAAATAATGATATTTGAAAGCCATTACTTCATTTGTTTCTGCTCCTCTAGTCATTATCTTATGGCGCATAGATTCTAATACCTTTTGCACCTGAAAACAATGAAAATGAATATAATGTTGTTTAAACGTTTATGTCAGTACATAGAAAATCATATAGTCTTCACCTTAGCAGCATTTTCTAAGAGCCCAGAGCACATTTGTAAGTTCATAACTACTCGAACAGGATGGACATTAACTTGCATGACAAATTTATGAAAACAATCAGCTAAATGTGGTGGAAGCATCGATTCAGTCTGTAATCCTTGTGGTTTTATATAATAATCTATATCAGCCTTTGGAATAAAATTATTAATAGTTGCTACGCAATTATGATTGCCCACAAATGCAGCCATCTGAGCTGGAGTCCGTCCTACATTGTTTGTAGCTGTTAACTTTGCTCCATAAGACATTAATAAATGGCACAATTCAGCATTTCCACTTAGAGCTGCGAAATGCAGTGCTGTATACGCATTATTGTGTTGACAAGCATTTACATCTGCTCCCTGTAACAAAAAATTAAAAAAAAATGATATCTATTGTTAAATGATTAATGAAACGTTATTAAGAACTCTTTTGTAAAGAAATTTTCTAGTATATAAAATGAGGGTGTAGAAAGAATTGAACTAAACGTTAAAACAAGTTCAGAGTTATTTATTATACTATAAAATTAAGATTATGATATTCATTAATGTTCATTATATATGTAAAGAATAGAGAAATATAAACAGAAAATATACATTTTCTATGTCTTCATTATAAAGGAAAATTATGAAAATTAAGAAAAACATAAAAGTAGGACTTATTTTGTTATATTGTTGTAAAGTTAACCTACCTGATCGAGAAGTATTTGTACTATTTCCTTTCTTCCTTTGTAACAGGCATGTTGAAGTGGACTTATACCATTTTCATCCACGAAATCCATTTTTACTTTATTCGCTACCAATAGCATTTTAAGCTCCAATACTGAATTGTCGCGGATTATATCAAAAATTTTCTTCTGCACATCGGTTATATCCTCCATGTCAGGCGCCATTTTGTCAACTATCGATCAACATAACGAGAAATCGAATGTTTATGGAATCATCGAGAACATTACGATTGGAATACTTTATCGATTCTTGATTATCGAAATTGAAAATTATTCTATTATATAGAACACACAATTTTTCATATAAAAGCGATCAAATATTCAAAATTTGATATGCATGTTACTTCTTCGTATAAAATTATATAAATAATACGATTATTTTAATACAGTATCAAAATAGAACTTTGATCAATAATATTTTTTTGTCTTTCTTCCAAGAATAAACCGTCTTATGTTTCATAGATTTTTTTAATATTAAAATCGTATATGGATACGATTAATTTATATTTACGTTTGTTTTTGTATTGATATGAAATATTTTGCTGTGAATAACAAATGACTATAATCTAGATGAAGAATTCAATTAGTAAGAATTTATTTGACTATTTTCTTTAGATAAATATTTATTCGAAATAATTGGAATAATTCGCAACTTCGATAAAGTTTTACGAACTCTAAGTTACCGTTGCAATTATTTAAGTACACTTTATTGGATACGTAACAAACGAAAACTGAAAGAAGCACTGGAGAGACGGAAGACATAAAATTTTATTGTATTTACTTTACTTAAGGGGTCACGTAACTAGATTAAAATTTATGAAACATGGTCGTGAGAAGAATAAATTATTTTATCCTGATCTTTGTCAGTCATATTTGTTAAACGTCTCTTTCTTCTTTTATCCAATGGTCCGCTGAAAGTGATGAGATGATAATATGAAAGTGGAAGATTATAAGTCTCATCGTTATACTTCAAGGTCATCCAATTTGGGAACGCAAATATCAAAGATCTGACGGATCATTTTATCTTTAGAAAATTACCCTGTATCTTAATTAATATAAAGCGAGGATAATATTGAAAATTAAGTTAATATTAAGTTAATTTATTTTAAACAGTAGATTTACTTGTTACTTGATAAAATAAACAATTTCACAGTGCAGCGACTCTTGATTTGAATAACCAATTAAATAAGCCAGAAAAGATAATGGCGGATTGTTTAGACAGCACCAGGTGAACGGATTATTGATATTCATTTTGAATTACTGTCTTATTTATTTAATTAACCTATAGTGTACAAGTAAGCACAAGCAAATAATGATCTTCCTTATTATCAGTTGTTAGAGTGTTTCCCTGCTATCTTTTCATACGCTAATTTACGTCATGCAATTACCGACTGCGAACATAACCTCTCTTTTATGTTCATTCCTTACCTGATGATATTTTGATGTGTTGCTTAATTTTAAAAATAATACGGATTTATATGTTTGTGCTATTACTATTTTTTTTATAACAGTTGCATTCTTTATCATAAATTTAACATTGTTATTCGTATTGATATTACCAGTAAATTTTGAAAAATAAATGTATAGTAGTCAGTGCCAATCAATTCTCACTCGTAAATCTACAATATAAATAAACACTCACTTGTTAATTATTCGTTCTAATGAAAATTTGTCATATAATTGAAATTTTGAGAAGAACTATATAAAAAAAATGTAACCAAATTAAACATTTTAACCGTGTACTCACAAGTAACGAATTGTCAACAATAGAACTATTGATAAAATGGTAAAAAAAGTTCATTTTAAGGGATACAGTGAAATCGAAACAAGTGCATGAATAATCCAGAAATCAAAAATAAGTTCTTCAGTTTAATTTAATTTTCGATTCACTTTGAAACAAGTTCACAGTGATAAAGAGACATACGCGTCGAAAGATTCGAATATAAACAGGAATTTGAGATCGTTTAACAATCGAGTAATCGTTACAAAGGAAGGAGTAGAAGAGTAAAAAATAATTCTATTCCAAAACAATTTGAAAATGATTTATTACATTTTATAGTAACGTCTTTAATTTCTTCGAACGCTATCGAAAAATATTGGATTGTTGGTTATAATATTTGCAATACGTAGGGGATGATTTTTTTGAAATTATTGAAGGAGATCTTCAAATGATAAAATTACCTATTCTTCAAAAATGTTTTCATGTTTCACAACGATCCACTTAACGGAATACATTAAAAAACTTGGTAAATCGTTACAAACCGTTTTAGAAGTACAATGAAAATTGCATACATTTTTTTTGTTATATAAAATGATAAGATATTAACATATTTCTCTTTGAATATTTCACATAAATTTTGATTAATAAAACGAATACTTCATTTAAAAGTTGAAACGCTATATTAATAATATGGAATAATTATAAACAGAAATCGAAATGTGTATATTAAGAAGCTTGAAATATCACGGATTAAACTGCCGTGATATGCAAACCCGAGATAAAGTATTGTCGCTAATTAATTATAGAATATTGTTTTATTTGCGATAGCCATCCAATTCTTGCGAATATTTATTTATTTATCATGTTAACAAGGCCCGAGCTGCTACCTATGGCTGCGGTCGCAACTCAGATGCGATGTATAAAATATAACATACAATTATACAGGATGATTCATTTTAAACGGAACACCAGATTATCTTTCTTTGCCACTGAGAATCTGAAAGACGTTCAAAATCCGACTCGACCGTTTTTAAAATAGAAATTTTTTACAAAATTACAGAATTTATTGGAATTATTAATTAATCGATTAATCACAAGTTGGAACAAAATGTGTATGATATTTATATTCAAGAGTTTTTCTTGTAATTATTATGTTGGAATAATTTGTAATTTTCGAACAAATGAATATAAAACAGTTTCAATATTATATAAATATATTACAAACATAACATTTCTAACTAATTAGTAACAATTACCAATAATTAATAATTAAAAGAAATTATAAATGTTTTTGTATAAGGCTATGTAATGTTTCTAAATGAAAAATTTAATAAACATTTTTTCGGATTTACCAATGAATAAATCATTTCTAATAACAGCAAAATAAAAATATTTTTAATTAATGAAAACAAAAAGATGGTAATTATAAAATACAATTGGCTTGAACTGAATTAATTTTCGGAAATTATTCGAACGTTCCTTGGAACTTTCTTTCAAACTCTCACAGGGACAGATGAGACATTTACAGGTTTTATATCTGGTGATTCAAGCTTGTACATATGTATAAATATATGCACATGCACCGGTCAACATATCATTATACATACATACTGTTGTGTCTAACAATAATAGCTATAAACTATATCGTACATATATGTATATCTGCACATAGAATATTTTCTAACAAGTTCACGATAATACTTTTTTTTCAAATACTTAATGTCTACTCAACCATTTTTGTCGTCGATAGTCGAAGTCAAGGAGAGACAGACAACTGCTTCGGACACGTCATTTAAAATCAACCGTCACGCATTTCAAAATGTCAAAACAATCAAAAGTATCCTACTTGATGTTCAAAGCATGTGGAATGGGAAATATTTTATGAAAGTTTCAAAGATTTAATTTTTTCTTTTTTTCTTTTAAGATTTAATCGATAACCTTGAAAAATAATCAAAAACTCAATGTTTAATAATAATTATCGAAAAAAAGTGAAATTTTATAAAATAGGATTAAGTATTATTTTATTTTACTATTTAGCGTTATCTTGAGTATATTAATATACGTTTCTTCAACTGTTCTAATTTTTTAATTAATTAATTTCGTGTAGAACGGAGATTACATCGTGTATAATCGAAAATTTCATTTTTCATTATGTCGTTACTACATAGTTTAAAACAGGTTGCAATTTATTATTTATGTATCCTCGGAATTGTCTGCCTAACGATTGATCTAATCTAAATATTAAATCGACAATAATACTTCTTATTTTCCATTTCACATAGGCTCCGTTATTTCAATAACATTTGAACGTTAATACATTTTAATGTAATGTTTTACACCTGATCGGTGATTACACAATTGGCGTATAGTCTACACAGCATGTTCGTCTGATCAAGCCAGACGATGTAAAAGCGTTTGTTGAACAATTAAGTGGAAACAATTAGTTTTGATAATACTGCCATCAATATGCGATCTTAATATTAGGCAAGGTATGTGTTAACCCTTTGCATTCTTTTTAACAGTTAATAGTAGTACATCCCCTAAAGTTGTACGTTCATTTTAGTTCGAAGGTTAGAACATTCATTTCCGATTAGTTTTATAAAACAATTTTATTCGTACACAATGCACAAGTCATGTTTTTAAACAGAAAATTATTTCAAAGTGCAATAGAACGAAATTGGATTTCTTTTATTTTTTTTATGTTACTGGAAAATAGTTTGTATTAAGGTTGAATCATAGATAATTTTAATCTCGTTTTTGCATTTATTTTCGACTAAGATTAAATTGTAAACTTTTCTGTTTAAACTCATATAAAATGGATAATAAAATTAATATTTTGTTTGTTTAATTGTTCTGTGAGAACGTCAAGGCTACAGTGCTTTGTAAACATGACCTTGCCAAGGGTTAGCACGATTGCAGCTGCCTATGGAAAAATGAATTACATTTTTTAAAATTAAAATAAAAATTGTTATAAAAACTCATTTATAAATACCAATAACAAAGGTAGGAAGTTTGTGAGCAAAACATAGCAACGAATGTTAGTTGTTCTTTGACTACATAAAATGAATTACATAGAAGATTTTTCTATTAAATTTTATCCACATTTGTTTCATGATATTTTGTAATGATATAGTAGAGATATTAATTCATACATTTTCTATTCTTCAACAAGATGCATGTAATTATTAAAATATTAACTTTCATGAAACTTAAAGCTGTTGACCAAAGAGATTCTCTTCTAGCTAATGTAAGCCTTATACACATTCATTAAATCTAGAATGGTATCAATAATCTAATTGCTTATTAACTTTATCTAAAAAACTCTGTAATGCCTGTAATATTTACAGGTTGGACCATCTGCAGCGTGTTCTCATGAACACAGTGGGAAAATTTCAAATAAAAGAAAGAATCAAATATTAATATTTCATTGATTACTATAATTTGAAAAAAAAATGTTTCAATGTTTTCATTATTTCTGTTTTAACAGTAACAGAACAATATCTTAGCAATAATGGTTTTTAACTTCTTGACATTTTTTTTCAAATGGAATTATATAGTTCTATTCCATGTTTATTAATATTAAGTGTACCTATGAGTAATCTACTATTTTCTTAATATGACAGTATAAGGTAAATTCAATATATTCTTTTATCCTTATGTCATGAAGGGATCATGAGTTTCCAATCTTTCTAAAAAGAAATAATAGACTTAGAAAAAACAGTGGATTACACCTTGATACGCTTAATATAATATGTCAGCTTTGCTAATTGTATATTCTTGTTAAAGAAATGGAATTAAACATTTGTAATATTTCATTACTATGTTGGTCATATTTTCATACTTCTAACAGTACTGTATTATTGCTAATTATTAAATACGTCCTTTTGTGTTATGTAAGGATGTAGAAAAACATGATTCTGTTTAAAAGAAAAAACCTTTAACATGGTATCTGAAGAAAAAGATAATTCTCAAAGGAATTCTGTAAGTTTTGCAAGTAGTGCCGGAAGATTTATTTACAATAAATAGAGTAAAAGAATGTGTAAGGGTAAAAGAATCCTCTCAATTGCAGTTAAAAATGAATATTTACAATAAGTTAAAACTAATGAGATACGAAAAATTGAAAAAGGATAAGTACCATAATAAATATTCATTTACACGTATAGTTTCTGTTTCTGTCTTCAATGCTGAAACAACATTTCTTTGGTTCAATTTTGTTTTTAAACTAATTTACCATAATGCATAACTCCATAATGCATCCACAGTCCAGTTGACTACTATAAACGAAACATTTAACTATTAGTAAACTAAACGTGATAGCGATGTTATTACAAACTTTTTTGGTACGCTACGCGTATTGTGGTTAATGGTGTAAATGATAAGTTGTATATTGTTTCGTCAGACAGCATTTATGCATATAGAAATGATTTACTTCTGATGTAGAAATATTTGAGTCCATTGAGTAGAGATCCTGTCAGGGATCTTCACCATGCAGGGAGTAAAGAATCGTTAAAACTACCGCATTTTAAGGTCTATGCGAGTGCGTTCGAAGTTCGTATAGTTCAATGCAACGTAAAATAAACCTCAACGATGAAATATTAGCAAAGGTATACTTGGAACCGGGCACCGTGCAAAATCACAACCGCACTGTCCTAGACTGGCTCCGGAGGTGGATCTCCATTAATACCTTCCCTGGATTGGATCATGACCTCCGTTTGTTCCTTGGTTAATTCTCGTTGCTCGTTGGTGAGGTTAAGGTCTTGATCTGCTATGAAACTACGACGAACTACACCATTTGCTACTGAAGATAAATCCGCGTTCCTTTGTTGAGTATCTCTCCAAGGGGTAGTGAGAATCCTCAATCTCTATATAAAGAGTAAAGCGATCAATAGTAAACCCCTTATTAACATTCGATAAACAGTACAGTAATTATTTAAAAAATGTTGAAACGTATTGTCGAAGTTAACATGTTGAATGCCATGGGGGTCACCGGTGACCCCCAACCAAATCGAATTACTATAGTTCGCTCAATTAAACCATGATTATTTGAAAAAATTTTTATATTATAAATAAAGCTAGCTGATGCGATGAGATTCAGCTAGATAAACCTGCAATAACAACAATGCAATTCAATCAAATGATTTAAAATTATATTTTTTCCATATTAAGTATTTTGTACTAGAAATCATGCGGCATTCAACGTGTTAGCTGAGTACATTATGAATAACAATTTCAATGCTACGGTTATTTTCAAATTTTTCAAACTTCAACCTCGTTCTTTGAAGGTAGCTACTTTAAAGTAGTACTTTGATTAAAGAGTTACTAAGAAGTAAAGATGCTTTGATTTAGGGAGAGAGAAAGGAGGATTAAATTAGTGGTCTTAAAAATTAATTGCTTGTATCCCACTGGTTTGCTGATGATGTTACATTTTTCCTGGAAGACCGGGTACACGTAGGAAAATAAAACATGCAATGGCTATTAAATAATTTTGCTAGAATCGAAAATTAACGTATAAGGTTTTGATATTTGTTATATGCATTTACCACTCAATAATTATTTCTGTTGCTATAACAAAGTGATGTGGTTTAAAGGGGGAAATACCTTTAGAACCTTAAAAAATCGCAATATTTTTTTTCTATAGGATGTTAGTATAACATCTTAAGAGTATGGTGCCAAAGTTTTAAAGCGAAACTCGGAGCCGTTCTGATGCTATACCTCATAATCGGGACTCATAGGCGGTAACCCACCTTTTGTCTGTGGAAAAGGCAAGCTGACTGATGCGCTTATCAGGAAACTCACCGCATACTATGGTTTAGCCATACGAAGAAATATTCATAGTGTGGAAAATATGAAGAAAGCTATAATGCCCTCGTATTATCACTTATGCTCCACCAAAGAAAATCCAAGGCACGAATACTGCCCAGTAGGAAATGACAGCTGGTGCAAGTGGCAGAAAGCTCTAGCTACAGGAGCAAATTTGGACCTTATAGAACATCCTGCACCACTGCACGCAGACGTGCAGACGCACATCCTACCAATTTACGAAGATTTATCTGAAGAGAATCTACTTGAGAGGTGCTTGGGCGGACACACTCAGAACAATAACGAGAGTTTCAACTGTTTGGCGCTTCGCTCCAAAGCACCTGCACTTAGGAATAAAAATTATTGAAATTGCAGAATATTTGGCAGCTGGCTTATTTAACGAAGGATATGCTTTAGTTTTAAGAACTATGAGTGCTTTGAATATTGTAATTGGAAAACAAGCAAAACCATACGCCGACAAAATCGACGAACAGAGAATAATTCGACAGGAGCGACGCACCTCATTAACTACCAAAGAGGCTCGAAAAGCAAGAAGAGAGCAACGTATGGAGGAAAATCAGCTCTACGAGGAAACAGAAGGAATATTGTATGGCGCAGGAATTGCAGACTAGCTGGTAAGTTATTGAAATTATTGAGTTATCACTTATCGAAACTTTGAACGTGTTTATCTCGAAACTACATTTTCGAAATCGGTGGAATCAATAACTCAAAAACTACTCAATCGATCTTGCTGAAATTTTGCACATATATCTATAACAATATTGTCTTATATATGAACCTAGAGATATGAAATAAATTGTAAATAAAAGTATCTTTTTATTGCAAAATATAGCGAAAATTTCATGTAAAATCCAAAGTTTCTGTTTAAAAGCGTGTCATTTTTTCAATTTTCAATATTTTTCACTTTCTGTAGGTTCATCTACAACCTGTAAATGTTAATTATCGAAATATGTCTTGCTGGTTTGTTTCAGATCAATGTAGCCAAAGCTAGAGCTTACATCATTTAATAAGACGCACCACAACCTTCCCGAAAAACAGGGACATAACTCCGCCATTTTTAAATATTTTGAAAAACAAAAAATACGTTGTAATAGAGAAAGAATATAATAAATGATAATCAAAGTTCCAAAAATGTAAAACAACCTTTTCCTTTTCAAAAAACTGCATAAAGATAAGCTCGTTTTCGTCCGTCTAAAGGTATTTCCCCCCTTAAGGGAAGTAATTTATTAGAAGAAATGATGTTGCATTTAGAGTATTTTATAATCTTGCGTGTATGTATTAAAATTTAAATATTATTTAGCGGAACTAAGAAAAACTTAAGATTTAGATGATTACCTGAATAAAGCTGCCGGGTGTGACAATGATCTTGTAAATTGCGATGCCGGGTATCATGGCAATTGAGGAAGTTGCAATTAACCAGCCTAGTACATTTGCCCAGACTGGATACATGTAGTCCTCATAGGTTAATGGCTCGTAGCCCATCAAACCGTAAACGATAATGAACTGTAAGAGTATTGCAACATGTTATAAAAAACCTTTCCGCCTTGTCGTTATTTACAATTTTAATCTCTAAAAATGAAGTTTCGTTCTGTTTTTAAACCAACTAAATATAAACGACAAATTTTACAAATCGAAAATTGGAATAAATTTATACATTATCTTCACTAACTTCTTTAGTTTTAATCAATGAAAAACATCACTGGAACAGTATTAAATTGTAGTTAATTCTGCATTTTATAAATTACTTTATTTACACTTTCTTATTTAATATTTAATCATTCTATTCATTGCACCTAATAAAATAACTATCAACTTAAGATATTTACATTAGATGTAATAATTAGATGCCAATAAATATCAGATATAACCATCAACTTAAAATAACGGGTGAAAACGGTTTATGAAAAGCTGGGTCCAAATGAACCACCATGTCTATAGCTTAAGACACGAACGAGCAGTTTACCATAAGGAATATCGGGGCGACAAATTTCCAGCAAACCCTCCAGTAGATGCCAGGTGAAAATCCGATCATGTCTTTGATGTCGGCGCAGAATCGGTCTGCCCCATAGATCCAGCTAATGGCTATTGCTTCAGCCAGAACTGCGAACAGCATCGAGTAGCCGGCTGCATAACGGTCCAGCAGGTGGAAGAAGTAAAAACCACCCTGTGTGCAAGAATGTGCAAGAATTCTGTATGCAAGGAAATTAATATTTCTTATATCTCGAGTCATTTAGTTTAAAAGAATAAATAAGATTAAATATCTTGGAAATTATGGGAATAATTTATTAAATAATTTAATAGGATTAAATATCTTGGAAGCTCTTAATTGCAATTTATCTTCTGTCTATATAAATTGATATAATTGATGTGATTAATGTTACATAGATCATACTGCAGAATTATTTGTCATTATTATATATAAGTAGAAATCATTAGTAGTATGTAGACACACTGGTTGTATTCTAAAATTCAAGTTTCATCTTGTATTTTATATTTTTGTTCGTTTAATGAATTATCTCCTTCTTGGAGATGAATGATTGAATCCATGTTTCGTTGAGTTAAAGGAATGTATATTATACATAGTATATTAGATAGGTGATTCGTTTATTGTACCTGTGAGCACGAAGCCAATCCAACAAGGAAGTACAGCGTGAAAAGAATGGCGACGAAAATTTCACGGTTGTTCCCTATAATTGGGAACTCGTCGCTAAGAGCAGTGATTATTGCTTCAGAACCGCCGAACTATTAAAACAAATTCACATAATTACATCTCTCAAATGGTGATAAAATCGCATAGATGTTAGCAATAACTTTTCATAGAGAAACATTCAAATTGTCATGATTCAATTAATTGGAAAAATAATCTGCATATAATTAATATTAATAGATAATTCGTTTCTCGAATTTTTTTAACCATAGTTCAACAACAATATTGTATACCAAGACAATCTTTTACACTTGACTTGAGTTTTGAAATGGA